GGGGAGGGGGGGGAAGCACACGTTTAAATAAAACCCGGGGCAGCTTCGCCCCTCCAAGATCGGAGAGAACCCTTGCTTGGTGATCGAAGCTGGCGAGGGGAGAGGGAGGGGGGGTCTAGACTGTCCTTTAAAAAACTTAAGTTGGTTTTAACTGAAGCACCTACCACTCCGGAGAAAGTGAAGGGGGAATGCGGGGAGGCGCACAAAGCAGGGGGTCCCCGGTGTCACCCCTGAGCAGCGGGCGGCCTCCCTCAGGCCCACCCTCGCCTCGCCAGAGGCGTTTTTTCCCTTCTAACGCGAAGCCTCCAGGTGAAAATAAAGCCAAGGCACCTACAGGGGGAAAAAAATTCTAGTCTTTTTTAGGGTTAACATCAGAAGAGAAGCTGGGCTGCTGTGGCCAATCAGATACGCCCCTGCCAGCTATAATATAGTACCGAAGGCAGCCTCTCACACAAGCTCTCCAGGCTCGCTACCATTTAAAATCAGAGTCTTTTTGTCTTTTGATTGCCGTCTCCCGCCCCAACTCCGATGTGCTCCGTTATCAGCGACCAGCAGCCTGCCGCTCCAGCCCCCGCCTGGGTGGGGATCGGCCGCCAGTCCCCCGCGCCGGCGGCGGGCAGGGCGCAATAGAAAGAGAAACGGCGGCGAGGCGGCGAGCGAGCGAGGAGCCAGCAGCCAGCCAGCCGGGGAGCGAGCGAGCGAGCGAGCGGGGAAGGGCGAGCGCCCGGGCGCGCACACACACACGCGCGCACACACGCGCACACTCGCACACACGCGCGCACACACGCGCACTCACACACACTCGCGCACTCGCGCGCACGGACCCGCGCGGGGACGCCTCGGAAGGCGCTGGGTTCCACGGACGAGATGCTGCTGCTGGCGAGATGTCTGCTGGCCTTGGTCGTCTCCTGGCTGCTGGTGTGCCCGGCGCTGGCGTGCGGACCCGGCAGGGGGTTTGGAAAGAGGCGGCACCCCAAAAAACTGACCCCTTTAGCCTACAAGCAGTTCATCCCCAACGTGGCCGAGAAGACCCTAGGGGCCAGCGGAAGATACGAAGGGAAGATCTCCAGGAACTCGGAGCGGTTTAAGGAACTCACCCCCAATTACAACCCCGACATAATATTTAAAGATGAAGAGAACACCGGAGCCGACCGGCTGATGACTCAGGTAGAAACCCAGCGCCGGGCGCGGAGCGTGTGGCTCTCCAGGGGGCTCTGGAACCGGGCAGCTCCAGCCGGCGCGGTTGCTCTGGGGCAGATGGAAAGGCGATTTCGCCCCGGCCTTCCCCACCCACCTGTCTACCTGCCACCCCTTTCTCGCCCCGGAGGGAATGCAGGTGAAGGGTCCAGCTGAGAACTTCAGGGTGGGGGCGGGGGAGGCCCAGAGGAGATGTGGTCCAGGGATGGCCCTGATTTGATTTCTCCAGCTGGGGGTGGCCTTCCCATCCTGGCCCCAGCTCTGGCTTGGGACCTGGGGAGCCCTTCACTTTGGGGGGCGGCTGCCCTTTCCAAGTTTGGAGTGGAAATGGAAGGAGGCAGAACCCACTCCCCACCCCACCCCCAGAACCACGGAGTGGCTTCCAGGTCACGGTACAGATGTGGCCTCTAGCATCAGACCTTGGAGCTCCCACGGGTCCCTTCTCCTCTGGGCTTTTCTTTCCCACCACACCCCCCGCCCCGCGGCCCCCACCAAACACCCTACATCGGAAAAGCCTGGAGCGGGTTCTGACCACAGGAAGGGGCTGCAGAGGTGCCGGGCTGGTCCCTGGCGGTGGCACAGAGCCCCCTGCGAACCCCCGGTGGCGGTGGCGCCCACCAGAGTGGGAGCCTATCGATATTTCTTTAAGGATGGGCTTTCATTCCCCTGGCCGGGTACCTGAGGGGAGGGACTTAGAACTTATTGGCATTGCATCAGTCCAGGTTTCAACCTGCTGGCCTGGGGACTAGCGGAGGGGGCTGGAGGGACGAACCCAAGCAAACCTGCCGCCTCGCTCCCTCCCCGCCGCCGCTGGAGACTTCTGGCTGCCAGTCTCCCCGCGCAGGGTGGGCTGTCTGAGACTCCGCGCGCCTATAACTGAAGCTAGAAATGGATTTCCTGGCAAATATAGGTCAACATCCTTTGTATTGCCCTATTAAAATATTTAAGTCCTACCTTTAGGGCTAGGAGCGCACCGCGGCTGGCGGAGTGGCGCTGACGGGGGCACGAGTGCGGGGAGGGTGGGGGTGGCGGGACCGAGACGCCACCGGGCCCTCGGCTCTCAGCCTGAGCCCGGCCTTGCTGCGCAGCCGAAACTGGACGGAGGCAGCCGGGGAGCCTGGGGAGGAGGGAGCCGAGGAGAGGGTCCTTCTACCTTGCGCGCGCTCGCTCTCTCGCTCCCTCCCTCTCATCTCCGACCACCTTAAATCTGGACCGCGAGTGTGGCCGCGCGCGCGCTCGCGCGGGTACCCAGAGCGGCGGCTAACTCTGCGCAGGCCTCCGGGCACCCCGCGTGCGGCCAGCGGCGGGGAGTTCTCCGGCCCGTCCGGGGCCCCGACCCCGGGTCACCCTGCTCCGGCTAGAGGGAGGGGGCCTACTCGGGGTCCCTCAGAGCCCGGGAAGAGGGAGGCCAGGCAGCAGCAGGCGGGGGGCGGGGACGCCGGAGGT